GGATTTGGAAGAAAATGCACTCAACCTAACAAATCCTGATCAATTCAAGTGGTTAGTTTAAGGGGCATGCGTGACTGGCGGAGCGCCTATCGCCCTGGCACGGCACTCTGAAATGCATCTTGGGTTGGGCCAGCAAGAAAACTTCGACTAGGGAGACGAAGAATGGAATTGAAGAAGGCAGCATAGTCTGGATTAGCTCTTGGGATTTTTGGTTGTTTTACTCTCTTTCAAACAGTAGACTTTTCAACCATTTTTGCTTGTGCTAGTGCTCCCAGAAATGAATGATTGTTTTGCAATATGAGATTGAATGCCATAACTCTGATTTGTATTTTACTTTTTATTGGTGTTGTACAAACGAGATTGACCGTTTGCGTCAAGTTCTAGCACCACCAAAGCCAAGTTTTTACACAATTTCAATGTATGCCACAAGTTCTAACACTAAAGTGACCGTTTGCGTTAAATTCTAGCATCATCGGTGTAATTGATAGACAGATATTCCAACTCTGCTACAAAGAAAGAAATAGGTTTATATCAAGCATCTATCACTTTCTGAATCTGCTTCACCTAAGGGCATCTCCAGCCGTTCGGCCCCCCGGGGCGCCTAAATAGAGCGGCCTGGGGGCGTGCCGGGGCTAGTTCGGCCCCTGGGGGCGACCTAGCTCCCAGTCAGGCCCCCACGCGCCGGCCCCAAGATGCGGGAAATTCAAACTGGGTCGTTCCCGCTCTCAAAAGACGCCGCAAATCCGGCGATCGGACGTAGTCTGGCGTTACAAAAAACAGAGGGCCGCCATGCGCAACGATTCACTCGGCTTGGTCGGCTCCAGGTGTTGGCGGAGTCGGCGTGCGCGGGCTCGTCGGTGTCGGGCCTGCTTCGTCGCAGGGCTGCGTCGACGCGGCTTCGGCACTGCTGGGCGGCGATGTAGAGGCGCCGTCCGGGCTTGGCGTCCGTGTGGTCGTGGGCGTCATCGGCGTCGTCGGCGTTGCCGTCGGCAGCTCGTTCAGGATGAGGCCGCGCTGCACCAGGTACCACGCCTTGAGCTTCTCGTCGTTGCTCTGGAGCATGTCCGCCCCGCTCATCAGAAAAGCCATGTCGGTGTTCCTCTTCTTTGCGGCGACGTTCGTCCGGAGCAGGTCGAGCTTGATGGCATTGTTCTTCATAAGCGACGACCACCGCACCTCGGTCTTCTCTTCGCGTAGGACGGCCCGGGCCTGGGCGTCGGCAAGGCAATGCTCGATGGACTCCTGCACTCGCGTGGTTGCCGCGTCGACGCTTTTCCCCTTCTTTGCCAACTTGTGGCCGTCCGGCTGTCCCTCTGACGCGCCCGGAGTCACCGCGTCTGGCTTGTATGTCTCCTTGGCCTTGTCGAGGGCACGCCAGACTTCCGCCCACTTCTCGCACTTGTCAATGCGCTTGTAGACATGGAGGTGCTTGAAGTCGGCGTCTTGGTTGTCGCCCCGATACATGGCGAACATACGCAGTAGCTGCGCGGAGAGACAAACAGTTGGTGGGCGGCGGGCGTAGAGGACGAAGATATGCGGGCGAACGGCGTGCGTACCTGATCCTCAATGCTGGCGCCGCTCTCGGGCGAGCTGCGACCTCCTCGACGATTCCATGCCATTTGTTGCACGCCAACTGGATACGCTCCCAATGGTTCTCCATCGCCTTGGAGCCGCGCTGCATGTACACGCCTTTGAAGTAGGTGTCGACGAGCTTCCGCTCGTCGAACTCGGCCTTGATGCGGTCCCAGTACGTGTCCAAGCTCTGGTTCGCGCCGGTGGTCGGGTCGAGGCAGACGAATTTCCATGCTTCGGCGAGGCATTCCTCCTCCTTGGACGTCCACTTGATGCGCGGTTCGCCTGACCTAGCCGCCCGCTTCTTCTTCTTCTGGCGCCCCTTCGTCGGAACAGGAGCCGGTTCCTCCTCCTCCTCGGGTTCCTGCGCGTCATCGCCGTAGACGTAGCCGAGCTCGACCTCCATGTCGCCGCTGAGGTCCACTACCTCGTCCTGGGTGGCGAACCCGGGAGACTCGGCGGCCGCGGTCGATCCTGTCGTGATGATGTCGTCCATGTCGGCTCCCGTGTCGTCGGCGTCGCTGAGGTGCGAGAAGGGTAGCGGTCCGCGGTAGAGATGGGGCGTCGGTGTGGACGCGTAGGAGGCGGGCAGCGAGTAGTTGTATGGAGGGTACTGCACGCCGACGAAGGCGGGAGAGGGCGTGCGCGTAGCGGGGTGACCATGAGGGAAGGTCACGTTTGGGTTGAACCCGCCGTGCGCGTCGCCGTCGGCGTAGCCGGGCGACGATGCACCCCATGGAGATCCGGCGCCTTGCTGTCCCCAGGGCGCGTACTGGGCGTGGCTGACGACGGACGGATTCATCCCCGCCTGGTCAACCGATGAGGAAGACGCCGCCGCGCGCGCCGCGTTGTCGCGGGCCTTCTTGGCTATGGCCCTGTTCCGCCTGTCGGCGGTGATCGCTTCGCGCCGCTGAACTTCCACCCTCCACTCGGCGTTCGACAGGCCCGGTGGCTTCGATGGCGGCGCCCTCGGCTTCCTCTGCTTCGGCTGGACCACGGCGCCAGTCGCGGTTGCCGCCGCGCGCGGCATGGCGTACTTTTTCGGCGGCATGGCGTGCTTCTTCGCGGCGAGCGGGAGGGGGTTTGGCGGGAGAAAGGGATAGAATGGCGGGAGGAAGGCGAGCGAGTGGGAGAGATGCGAGGGAAAAGCGTCAAGAAACGGCGGGAAAAGACCCTCGGGTCGCTTCCAGGGCGGGCCCACGCGCCTTTTTCGCTTGCGCCGGCTCCCCAAGCGCCCCCCAGGGCGCCGGGTTCGGCCTGGGTCCGCCGGCACCAGTTTTGGCCCGAGCCGGCGAAAAACGGGCTTCTGGGGGCGCGACTGGGGCCTTTTTTGGCGCCGCCACGGCAAAATCGCCTGGGGAGGGCCTGTTGGGGGCGCGGCTGGAGATGCCCTAAGCTCAGTACTTGTGTGCACACATTTTATAATATAAGAGTGCTTTTAAAAATGTTTTTATATTGTGAGACGGATGAAGTATGATTCTGCTACAAAAGCATCTTCCTTTTTTAGTTACAAACAGATATTCTGGACTTCTTTTCAGTAAACGGTTGTGATCTGATTATACATACTATGTAACTACAATGAACGGGTGGGCAGTTAACGGTAGTGATCCAATAATAGCAAAGGTTCCACTATGCCAATGCCCGGATGTGATAGAATAGATAGACATCCCAACGCTGCCACAAGAAAAGAAAATACTCCACACATCTCATGTGAAAGAAATAGGCCTATCTCAGGCCTGTGTCACTGTCCGAATCTGCTTCCGCTAAGTGCAGTGCTTGCGTGCACACATCTTATGTGCGATCGATGCGCCAACATGAGCTCAAGACCATGCCAGGTTCCCACACAGAATCAATTCCATTGGAGTCGGACACGCTTGTTCGTCTGCTACACGTACCAGCCATGTGTATTTGTCCACCTGCTCCATTTTCTGACGACATTGCTCTCCACTGACAGCTACTCCTACTTGTGAAACTAAGCCTGCATTCCTGTTAGTTCTTCAAATTAAGGCGGGAAATATGATGCGTTCGCTCCACATTTCGCTACATTCCCCCACAAGCTACTTACATATGCATGTATACACGTTCTATTTCTTCTCTCAGGAATCAGGATTCAGGAGTAAGGGCAAAGCTAGAGAGCGGTGTCCATCTGAAGTCTGAACCTTGCTTTGTATGCACCCATATGCTTGCAGGTGCAGCTTGCAGCTTGCAGCTAGCTGCGGAATACCAATACCGTGCGACAATGGCCACATGATTCCTGACCTTGGGTTCTCCTTTTCCCCTTGCTTCCTGTCGAGGCGATGCCATTGTCACTCTCCTACACAAGGAACATGGACAGCAGCCTGCCATAATATATACGCAGCAATAGTCTACACAAACACAAGGGACCAACCATCAGTTCCTGCATTTCATCGAAGAAGATGGCTGACAATGCTGCGGAGGTGAAGCAGAAACCTCAAGGTGAGGTGAAACCAGATGAGGGTCAGAGCCAGGCCGCGGAGAAGAGCGAGAAGAAGGCGGAGCTGAAGCCCGATGAGGCGAAGAAGCTGATCGAGTTCATGGCGAAGAAGTACGACGAGCACGTGGCGAAGGTGGACTCGTTCGACGACTTCTACCACGCCATCTACGAGCTCATCCAGTAAGTTTCTTCCTCCGAACCTTACGTGCATTCAGTTCATCTCCATCGTTGATTCACCATCACCGCTGAACGATCCTTCAGGAAGTTCTGCGAGGAGCGCGGGCAGGTGCAGTACAGGATCCCGCCCAGGGAGAAGCTGCAGGAGGTGTACAAGGTGAGTGGCCGCGTTCCTTTCTTCCTTATCGGCAATCTTCAGTAAATGAGAGGGTGGACGTCTCACATTTGTGTCTGGATCGTCGGAATGGATGGCGGGAGCATGCAGAAGCACCACACGTCCGGGGGCGAGGTGAAGCGGGAGGAGTTCGCGAAGATGAGCGGGGAGCTGGTGAAGCGGGACAGCTTCAGCTTCGGCAAGGCGACCACGGAGCTGCTCATGTTCCTGTTCGGCGCGCCCATGTGCGCGCTGGTGGCCAAGCGGGTCCTGCCGGGGCTGGGCTGGGTCTCCGACGACACCGTCATCCCGCTCGCCACCTCCGGCGCCGTCGCCTACCTCGTCCACTCCAAGAAGCTCTGATCGATCCATCATGTCTGAACCGAGTGACTGTATACGGATATGTGGCAGTAGATTAATGCGATGGCCGGGCTCAAATATTGCAGCGAGCACAAATTTAACTGCAGTAATTGACTATCAGACTGCTGGGTTATTTTTACGTATTTGTAATAAAAAGAATGGCGGGTAAAAATATAGACCGGGGAAAAAAGGGGCACACCACCCTAAAGTGAAAAATTGCGCGGTAGCGGAAGGTAGCGGCACATCCTCGACCGTTCCTCTCAGCATCTAGATTGATGCTACTTTTCTTTGTATATGTTGCCAATTTATTTCTCAGATAAATAGACATCAATACAGAAGAAGAGAGGTCCACACCTACAGGTTTTTGTGTCACGTAACTGTGAGAAAGAGGAAGCGATGCATGCAGGCACATAGATTCCCTCTCCAACTAGACTTGCATTTGTTTTCTTATATCATTTTGAATGGCTAATAACTTTTAAATAAAAATTAGTTTGTGAAACATTTTACAAATTTGAATTCATGGCGAATAGATCTTTAAAACAAGACTGATCATGAATATGTTTTGAATGGGTTTAAAAATACGGATTTCACATATTTCATATATATATTATGATAATATATTCCAGTCATTCTGAAAATATTTTCTAATGACGTATTTCACTCATTTTAAATCAGATTCCACAATTTTAAGAACAGATTTCGCTCATTTTATTTAACATATTTCACTCATTTCCATCATGTCAAAAAAAAATTATATAACATATTCCACTCATTTCAAAAAGATTTAGTAAGTACTCGCTCTGTAAAAAAATATAAGAGTATTTAGATTACTAAAGTATTGATCTAAACGCTCTTATATTTGTTTACAGAGGTAGTAACATACTTCAGACATTTTAACCATATTTCACATACTTAAAAAAAATCAGTCATTTTATATAACATCTTTCACTCATTTCAAAATAGGTTTCGTTTTAACATATTCTACTCATTCGAAACAATCATAAATAAAAAAATTCAGAACCCACATTTCACTGGCTTGTTTCAAAAAATGACATCTATTTCAACTGCACATTTTTGAAAAAACATATTTCACTCTTTCGAATAAATTATTACACATTTACAAGTGATCGACTTCACAAGTTCTTTTTTTTTCTTGTGAAATAGGTTTATTTCACATATCGAATGTGAAACGTCAAATTTTAAACATGTTTGAAATGTATCCAAGATTGGTCTTCGCGCCAAGAGTTCAAATATATAAATTATTTCACAAACAAACTTATATTTTGAAAGATATGATTAATTTAAACTGTCTAAGATAAAATAAAGTCGTTGGATTTATCTGAGAGGAAGAGAGAGGAGAGATGTATGAGTAGTATCCGTTACTGACAATAGTAGTATTGCGGGGCCCATCCTGGTTGGTTACCAAACAATAGCAACTGTAATTTAGAGAGACTAAAAATAAAAAATCAATTGAACAATACAACATAGATTAGTTTTGTTCTAAAATACACATGAATGCTACAAATAATGTAACAAATGAGAGCGGAAGAAGGACTTCGAGAGCACACTCCATGCGGACAACTTACGCACTTCAGGAGTATATACATTTAGTTACTTGAAAAGTTATTAGCCTTATGATCTAGAAACTTCTATCAAATTATCTTCAATTTTTAAACACTCTACAACATTCACCAAGTTGGGCGTGTATTTTAACATACTATGTACAAGTAAGCGTATAAAATCAGATAATCAGAAATAAAGGGCATAGCCAACCAAAAAAAATACAAATAAGGGACATACATTTCTTGGAGTAATTTGGTACTTTTGGATTTGTTAGGGTAAAATCCACCATAGCAAATATTCTCCTTAAACATCTTAACCTAAGTTTTATAAACATTTTTCTGAAAAATATAGTTTTTTAGTATAAGAGAATATATTTGTAATGATAAATATAAAATAGTAAGAAAAATACAAATATGCATGACCAAGATCACATTATAAGTTATACTAGCTATACATAAAAAATAGCATTTAAAACAATATGGAGATCATTAATACATTTAATGAAAATATCAATTATAATAAAGTATCAAAGTTTAGTACAAATACAAAAAATAGATCAGTTTTAATTGGCCGTGACCCGACAAGTAGCTAAATTATTGCCAACAAAAATAAATAAGACAAATCGATACACGTAAATATCGGTAGACATGACAAATATGCGAATCAAAACTGTTTGTACAATTATGCTAGTTCGTAGGACCGTTCTTACACGAAGTGGGCCACGCCCGATGCTGGCTGTTACACAGGCGCCTCGTAGTGTTGTGCCCTCTTCAAGAGTTCCATCACGACAAAGACTATCACATGCTCCTCTTGCACGTATTCCGCCAAAGAGAACAGCGTTGATGAATACGGGAAAATAAACGACACCACGGGGATGGCTTGCGGCACCTCTACGAGACGGGTCACGAGGATGGTGGGATCACCGATGATAGATCCTAGCTGTGAGACCTCATGGGAGTGATCATCAAGAGGATTTAGGTTTGCGGGCGATGGGTGAAACAAGAGCTCGAGATTGAGGCGGCGTCTGCCTCGAGCTGGCTCCCCACCTCCCGGTAGAGAACGGGGACGGCGATGAGAAAGTCCGTCCATGTTAGTGCACTATGGTGGTGCACTGCATGCAGCGGAGTCACTGATGCCTCGAGATCCGTCTGCCCGACGGTGAAGTGATGTCGTTACCATCTGAGTGATGTGGCAGACACATTGCATGTTCCTGCGGCCTGCCATGGCGGGGTGCACGCTGGCAACGTTTGGTCATGTCACTCAGATTTGGGGGTTTCTTACGTTGGGGAGAGATTTAGTGTGAAAGAGATGTGATGATCTTTAAGCTCCGGTTTTGATAGTAGAAGCTTTTCGTGCCTTTCCCCTATGGAGTGACCATGAGTTATCGAACCCACGAGAGAATGTGCACTACGACAAAGGTGTTGGTGCAATAATTTGTCTCCTTATGTTTTGGAGTTTGTTGACATAGACAATGTGTGACTTATGTGTTTGCTAGTGCACACAGAGTATCAGGTCCTTGGAGTCAAGAGGAGTTTGATTCAAACGCCGAAGATAATCCCCTGCGTGGAAGTAAGGGTTATCACCGATGATTATGATAACAAGAGTGACCCCTCAAAAATTGTTGACACGAACCAATTGGTTTGGTGTACATCCGAAGGAAGTGACTGCGACCGAGAAGACTGAAGACGAAGTGAAGACGTAGCATTTATTTTGTTGTTTCTCTTTTCTTTATTGAGTCACATGATCACCATACTACTAATAGGGGTGTAGTGTCCGAAGCTTTGATTCTCTGATGCTAAACCCAAGTCCCATTAAAGTTGCGAGAGAAATCTCTTTGTGTTCCGAGCAAATACTTGCCAGCAAGAGACTGTGATCTTCTTCGCTGCGAGAGATTTCTCTCTGACCGAGGAGTTAGCATTACTTGGTCCTCAAGTAATGTTACTATTACTCTTGAAATCTGACCGTTGTGAACGTGTCAGTTGGCCATTGGCTGGACCGTGTGTTCAAAATGGTCATTTCCCACATGGGAATGTTGCGGCTATAAATAGCCACCCCGCACCGGCGTTGTCCGGTGGCTGCTCCGTTTGATTGTGAGAAGATTGTTGAGCAACCCCCTCTCCAGAGTGATTTTAGTTTAAAATCCACTGAGAGAAAACCCCTAGAGCCAAAAAATTAAATAGTGGTTCAACATCCCTCGAATTTAAGTCCAGTACGCTCCGCCTATTACTTTTGAGAGCTGCAAACTCTCTAGATGGTTAGGTGTCAATTTCTTCAAAGGCCAAGAGTAATTGTGGTTCTCGAAGAAGAAGTCTGTAAAGGTTTAGTGATCGCCTCAAGTATCTACACATGTGTAATCGACATTGGTTGACGAATCAATTGTCGAGGAGAATAGGGCGAAGAGAGTTTATCTTCTGTGTTAAATCACAACCCCTCCAACCAGACGTAGTCCTTGTGCAGAAGGGTGAACTGGTCTACCAAGTTCCTTGTCGCCATCGAGCATCACTGGTTACCTCTATTCTCCTCTTTACATTTGAACTAGTTCGATCATGTGATTTGTCTCGATGCATGCTTTTAGTTTCCATTCGTTAGCTTGTATTCGCTCATTGTACTCTGTTTTCATTCGCTTCGCTGCTGGGTTCCGAGAGTTTTAAGATTTTTGAAGAAATTTTAAAAATCCTATTCACACACCCTCCCCTTTGGTAGACATACTTCGCTCCTACAGTTGATATCGGAGCAAGGTACTCCTTGATTCTGCTCATTTTTGTCTAACCACCTTGGAGTTTAAGTATGTCTTCAGTGTGAAGGAAATATGCCCTAGAGGCAATAATAAAGTTATTATTTATTTCCTTATTTCATGATAAATGTTTATTATTCATGTTAGAATTGTATTAACTGGAAACTTAGTACATGTGTGAATAAATAGACAAGCAGAGTGTCACCAGTATGCCTCTACTTGACTAGCTCGTTGATCAAAGATGGTTAAAGTTTCCTAGCCATTGACATGAGTTATCATTTGATTAATGGGATCACATCATTAGAGAATGATGTGATTGACTTGACCCATTCCGTTAGCTTAGCACTTGATCGTATAGTTTGTTGCTATTGCTTTCTTCATGACTTATACATGTTCCTATGACTATGAGATTATGCAACTCCCAAATACTGGAGGAACACTTTGTGTGCTACCAAACGTCACAACATAACTGGGTGATTATAAAGGTGCTCTACATGTGTCTTCAATGGTGTTTGTTGAGTTGGCATAGATTAAGATTAGGATTTGTCACTCCAATTGTCAGAGAGGTATCTCTGGGCCCTCTCGGTAATGCACATCACTATAAGCCTTGCAAGCAATGTGACTAATGAGTTAGTCATGGGATGATGCATTACGGAATGAGTAAAGAGACTTGCCGATAATGAGATCGAATCTCGGGCAAGTAACA